AAAAAGAAAATTATATATAAATAATCAATCTCAGTCCCTTAGATGTTCAAATTTGCGGTCATATTCGCAATCATTACAGGTCTATGGAGTCATCATCGATAATTTATAAACCCTAAAATATAAATATTGAAATTGAAATGTATGTGTTCTTGAAATCTCCAAAGAAAAACAAAAAACAAAGAGGAGAAATAAAGAATCGAATAACACAACAAAGTAATATTGCTTCAAGGGAACGAGTCGATCTGGAACTGATAAATCCGTCGACCAGATTAAAGAAGCCTTTTCTCTAAATTAATTGGAAAAACAACAATCAATTCAATCTAATCTAACAAACAAAGAAATCAACACAGAATTCTACAATAGCGACTACAACAAGAAACCCTAGAAGTTATTGTGAAATAGTGAAATTGATAATGAAGAGAATGAGACTTTTTTTCTGATTTTATAGAGAAAATGTTTGAAGATCAACGGTTGATATGGTATTCTTTTTTTAGTAATCGATGGTGGCTATGTTATGAGCAACGTTGCTTTAAACTCTTAACCCTAAAACAAGTCAAATTGTAGGAAATGTCGATAATACCTTCTTATATTATTTTATTACTTTTTTACCCTAATGGTTTAATATAGGCTAACAGGCGTGTTTAGCAAATGGTTATATGCACCCCCACAAAATGATAATTTCCGATCATGTTACCAACTTTCGATAACCTTACCTAAAAGGCTAAAACCTTGTTGGCCTCCACGTATTGATTGATTGGTGATGCTGGTATTTTCAAACATTGTTAAAACTTTAAAAAGCAACTGATCTCAAAGAATGTCAAAACCATAATTTATCCAAAACATGCTAGTAAAACAGTAAAAGTTGGAAGACTGAAAATGTTCATCACAATTTTTATTTGAATTAAACTTCTGTATTCATCAAAACACAGATGGATGAGAGAACAAAAAATATACATTTCAAAGTGAAATAACATACTACAGTACTAGGGTTTACATGTTGCTGTACAGTGAAACAAACCTAGCATTTTTTTCTCAGTTGATAGTCTCATTGGCATTAAAAAGTTGGGCCTCTGAGCTGGCTGTGAAGTAATGCTGTTAAGTCTCGGCACTACTAGTGTTTACATGTTGCTGTACAGTGAAACAAACCTAGCATTTTTTTCTCAGTTGATAGTCTCATTGGCATTAAAAAGTTGGGCCTCTGAGCTGGCTGTGAAGTAATGCTGTTAAGTCTCGGCACTACTAGTGTTTACATGTTGCTGTACAGTGAAACAAACCTAGCATTTTTTTCTCAGTTGATAGTCTCATTGGCATTAAAAAGTTGGGCCTCTGAGCTGGCTGTGAAGTAATGCTGTTAAGTCTCGGCACTACTAGTGTTTACATGTTGCTGTACAGTGAAACAAACCTAGCATTTTTTTCTCAGTTGATAGTCTCATTGGCATTAAAAAGTTGGGCCTCTGAGCTGGCTGTGAAGTAATGCTGTTAAGTCTCGGCACTACTAGTGTTTACATGTTGCTGTACAGTGAAACAAACCTAGCATTTTTTTCTCAGTTGATAGTCTCATTGGCA